CTTTTAATCTTAAACATCATCAACATATATCAAAATAATGTAATGGTATTAAACAATGGAGAATGAACTGAGATTCAACATGATTCAACATTATGACTCAAATGTGTCCCACCGTGTGTCCCATTGTTGCGCTCCATTCGGCCTGTGGCCCATCTCCGTTTGACTCCGTGGGAGTTGACTAGGCAGTGGAAGTGGGGCACCGGCCACGACTGACAGCATCAGCAAAATGTCTATTTTTGGATAGCTCAACCACCAGCACCATGAGAGCTACTTTCTTCAGCTATTTTTTTCCCACAATTTTCCACATGAATTTCCCTCAGCTGAGGGCATGTCCAGTGCTCAGGAAAACTTGGAGAAACACCTGCAGATCACGTGGCCCGTGGAGAGGCCGTGCTCCCGGGTCCCAGCGGGGGGATCAACCGGCCGACCGGCCAAGGGGTTTGGCACTTGGATGGGTTGAAACCAACGGTTAGTGGGCAATCTCTGATGAAATGTGCTATAATGTGCGACAGTTTTTTGGTCATTTTGGTCTTCAATCTTCGACACCTTCCCAATCTCATCAACTTCCATGCAAACAGTATATTCTTTACACGTCAATCATATCACAAAAAAGGCGCAGTTGTGGGTACAAACTTGAGCCCAGAGGACCGCAATGTTTGATGACGCCGCGACGCCCAGGGATGACCGTCCTTTTCTGTGCGTCTGACGCCGATCAGTTCAACCAGAGATAGTCAGCTGCAGAATCTCTCAACTAAATCGGTTTCGGGTCCGAACATGGAGGATACCCTAAAATGATATAAAATCATATGGTAAAATCATATGGGACTGTGAATAAATGAGGCTACACCCAAATCATCCATTTTTTTATAAAAAGGATGTTCCATTACACATCCAGTGGGGTAGCCCCATGACGTGCTGCCCTCATTTTTGCCGTCCCCGATGCCTGGGGCCCATGTTACAAATGCCCCAACTCATGGGGGTTTAAATCATGGTCCATAGGTATTTCGTGTTAATAGTTAACCCAGAAAATCCCAATGACTCATATTTTACACCTTTGTTTTCATGGTGAATTATCAATAATTATCACTACTATAATGGATAAATGAGTCATTGGACTTTCAGGGTAATATAAGATTTAATAAGCCCAACTAACCAGTTTCGATCGGGGGACACCCCCAAGTAGTTTTTTGTGGATGGTGAAACCCAGCACCAATTCGCACGATGGAGCTGCCATGGCCGGCAAGACTCCTGTCTGGAAGACAGCCAGAGGTGTGGGGATGTCCGAGTGGCAGAAGGAGCTGTTTGTTGGGTCGCCACCAACAAGATCTCAGAAATAGAAACGTAAGATGCATTTGAATAGCGGTAAATCACGTTTCTAGCAAACATACAGCCCCGTCTGAATAGCTTTTATGATACTCAACCTGAAGCATTTTTTGTCAGGGGTCCTGGGCGAAAGGCTGGAGAGGTTGATGGCTAGTGCTTTTCCAAGGAATATACATGTTTTTAGAATATGTTTTATTGATAGGAAATTTATGGAAATATAATTATATATATATACGTATATATATACATATTGAAAGGATTTGTTTTACCATACATGTCCATTCCCAGTATATCAAAATACGTATGAATGGTGCAGGACGGTGTAGGTATTATACACATAATACATAATATGCACCATATATGGGTATAGGAACCTCAAAAAAGATCTCAAGCAGTATTTCCAGGATGGTATAATATATGATTAGGTGATGTTTTCCCAGTGTTTTCCCATCATTCTCCGGTCTCCAACACTTTTCTATCTACTCTTTATTTCTGTAAGGTGGTGGTGCCTAGGTACAAATTGCTTTATAAAAATGCTAACCATCTAACCATATATAAAAATGGTATCGAATTTAATCATCTAACCATTGAACCATTGGTTTATATATATATTATATTATAACTGGTTGATATCATGGGCATTATAAGCCAAGAAACATCACTGGGGCCCCTTTTCCTGCATTTCAAGTGCAGGTGGTCAACAGCTGCGAGGTGAAGCGTCACATGGGGTGCATGGGGTAAAGGTAGTAATTTGGTTAAAACAATGACATAAACCATAAGACTGTGTACTAAGAGCGTATAAAAAAACTACTAATAGCGTATAAATGTGCTATTAGTGGCCCAATTTTATGCGCGCTTAATCCAGGGTCTTAAAACATAAACCATCCATGACTGGGAATGGTTTATAGCGCCTATAAAAATGGTGATGACTGGGGGATGGTGCAGATGGCATTGTTTTACCCACATTAATCAACTAATTCCAATATCCAAAATAAATGATTACCATATGGGTGAATGCATGAGTATCCTAGTAAGCACTAATGAGGAGCTATCCTAATACACTCAATTTCAACTAATGGTATGGATGTGGCTGATCAACCAAATATTCACAATATTCTTGAGGGCAATGAGCTATAGAAATCAACTATGTATATGATGTGCTATCAACTATTTAGTAATCATCTATATAGCAATATGATCAACCGTATTGACTGATTGATTATATTATCCAGTTGATATCAACTATTGTATTATCCACTAATATCCATCATTAAAACCAACTATAGTGGAATATTGATAATAATGATGGGCATTAAATAGTATTAGATAAATAATCCCATTCCCCATGCGGCCCCATGCGTCTGAAACACCCCCATTGATATCTGATGTTCATCCCGTTCACCGGGGTTTCTGGGGGATGTTTCATATTGGGGGGAAAGGGATTGGAATGGGATGCGGACATAACTAACTGACAATGGTGATATGGGAGACTTACGCAATTTATATAGGGGAAGTTTTGATGATTCACCAGTGGATTTGAAGTTGTGGGGCTAAGTGAGTGGAGTGTCTTTGGGGATTTCTGGACTATACAATAATATATGTATATTTATATAATATATATATATACATGTAGTATATGTATGTTACAATATTATAGTTAGTTACTACAGTTGGTTTTATAGCCCCAAGTCACTTGCTGAATCATCCATTGACATTGATCGAGGTGGTTGGATCCCAAAGCTTTCAGGCCTTCGCCCAAAGCTTGGCGTCGAGCCATCTGCAGAAGGCGGTGCTCTTCCCTCAGGGCCTCAGAAAGTGCCTCGGCCTGGGGGATGTTCGAAGCTGAGATGAGGGATATTCCCGCTGTTTGAAGCTGGGAAAGTCGATCGAGAGCTGTTGTTTTCTTATAGAATCATGAGGATTTTCATGAAGATTTTCATGAGGATTTTAGAGCTGGCCATGTTTGATTCCCTTAAACAATTCCATGCTTCGATGGTAAACTTCGCAAGAATCCCTGGGTTCTTCGAGACGGCCCAGGTTGGGGTTGGAAGCCCGATGGCCTGCTGAGATCCTTGGGCGCATAGTTCAGCAGTAGAATGAAACCATCGCTTAAGGCATCTTGAGGCCACCATGTATATGGTATATATATATATATATGGTAAATACATAATATATATAATATAATATAATACAATATAATATAATATAATATATAATATAATATATAATATAATATAATATATAATATAATAAAATATAATATAATATAATATAATTTAATATAATATAATATAATAATATAATATAATTTAATATATATATAATATATATATAATATATAATATATATAATATATATAATATATATAATATATATAATATATATAATATATATAATATATATAATATATATAAAATATATAATATATATTATATATAATATGTATAATATATATAATTTATTTTATATTTAATATATATATATAATATATATAATATATATAATATAATATATATATAACATAATATTTAATACAATACATATATACATATATATATGGTTTCATGTGGTAAACTGACTGTTCGATTCATACTCAAGTTCAATGTTGATTTTCTGATGTTTGAATCATTTAAATCCGATCATGAAATGGGGCCAATAGGGTATGTCCCAGTTTCACCATTGGTGTCATCTGACAGAACTAGGCAGGGGGTCCAGAAACAAAATGAGCGAGCGAAGATTCAAGGACCTCTGGTGGAGATGTCCGCGATGGTCCGCGTATTGTGTCACGGTTATGTTGTTTTTAATGAAGGGTTTTTAATAAAGGCAGCATAGGACACCCAGATAAGTATACCTCTCATTAAGCCTCGTGAAGTATTTCCACACGTTCCGTGATTGCTGAGGCTGCAGGGAGCACTGAGCACCTCTCAGAGTGTGCTAGGTGTATTGGCCTCCCTGAATTTGGACGACTACCAAGGAAATTTGGAATGCGCCATGGCGGATTCCAGTGGATCCCCCGATTTGTTGTGAAAATCAAAAAAAGGTGGTAAATTCATCTAGAAATGGGACATGTTCACAGCAAACTTTTTGAGATTTCCAGGCTTGGTTGAAGGGCAAACCTATATAGGAACCCCATTTTTTTGAATTTGGTGGTACAAACCAGCCAGTTTCCGGTCAAGGTTTTAGCCCTAAACTAACCCACTGAGTCATGGATTAATTTGGTGATGGACCAAGAATGATCAAAACCTATACCATCTGAATTGCGGGGAGGAACATCCAGCTACCAGCTATTTTGGGATTCACCAGTGCTACCGGGCTTTGAATGGTTTTGAACCATACCCAAATAGGGAGCCTTACAAAGAGGCCGGGATGGTCCAATCAAATCCTTACTGGGGAGCTCCAAAGAGCCTGATCATTACCCCGATCCATGGCTCCAACATTCAAAGATCTGGGAGATTTTGAAGAGGGGCTGGAAAATGTAGTGTTGTTGATGTCTCTTGAAGTATGCTCTTTTCCAAGGCATGTGACTTTTTTTGGGGTGTGTTTAATGAGCCATTCTTAGAGCTCCACCACAACATGTTGGGGATCATGGAGTGGTGCAACCACCAGCAACAAAAAAAACATAAAAAACCGACCACGCCACGCTTTGCGCCGCGTTTCAGCTCGTTCCCGCCCGAATCTGTGGATTGCATTGAACTCTAGCTGAGCAACTTGCCATGGAACCTTCGAAGGAAGCTCCTGTGGTCCCTGGGCTCTTAGGGATGTGTCTGTGATGTATGGGCTGATACTCAGAAATTTCATGGGGTCAGGGGCTGCAATCGTGATGTTTTTGTTTGAATCGTGGAGATGGAAATAGATGCCATTTTTGGGAATTTTTGTGGGATGGGTGGAAACATGTGGAAACCAATGTTTTTCTGCACTTTTTCGGAAGAAGATAGGTTGATCATCGTTTCCCATTTGCTGTCCCAGGGCTTGCAGGACACCTGAAATTTCCACTTCATCTCGCGAACGTAGAGTCATGCCCTGAGCGAACTGGGGATACACATACGGTAACCCCCAATTGGGATGGTATAGGTATCCCCATCATGTTTCGTACCCCCCATATGTAGAGTATCCCCCAAACAAAGGATGACATGTTTTCATATGTGTTCTGTAATTTCCAGGTGTCCAACTGTTCTATCTTTGTTGGAAGATACACATGTATTCGGGATAAGGATAAACAGCAGATGCGGCTGTTGAAGACGAATATCCTAATAATGCCGGATATATTGAGATCATGATCATGATGATTCTTATTGTTTGATGATGATGCTGATGCTAATAGCAGTAGCAGTAGCAGTACCAGCAGCAGGAGGAGGAGGACGAGGAGGAGTAGTAGTAGTAGTAGTAGTAGTTGTAGTTGTAGTTGTAGTTGTTGTAGTAGTAGTAGTAGTAGTAGTTGTTGTTGTTGTTGTTGATGTTGTTGTTGTTGTTGGTGGTGGTGGTTGTTGTTGTTGTTGTTGTTGTTGTTGTTGTTGTTGTTGTTGTTGTTGTTGTTGTCGTTGTTGTTGATGGTGACGCTGATGCTGATGCTGATGTTGATGCTGATGTTGATGCTGATGTTGATGCTGCTGATGTTGATGATGATGTCGATGATGGTGATGATGGTGATGATGGTGGTGGTGGTGGTGTTGATGATGATGATGATGATGATGCTGATGCCGATGCTGATGTCAATGATGATGTTGATGTTGATGATGATGTTGTTGTTGTTGATGATGATGATGATCACGATGAACACCATGACATTTCATGACATAGTGATACTCTCCGAGGCCAGTGGTGCGTCCAAGAGCTTTTGGGTCACCTGGATTTCAGCGGGGGAAATGAGCGAACTTGATGGTCTGATCATGGGGAAACTGACTGATAGACGGCGTTTTTTTTTAAGGTTTAATCGGTTCAATCTGAAGCGGATTTGTTGAGGGAAACACTTCAGTTGGATGAAGCCAGATGTCTATTGAGTTTGCCAACAACACAATGATGGATTTTGCCATCATTCCATTGGGCTTTCCTGGATATTTACGATTTACCCTCTGGTAATTTAACGTAGCTATGGAAAAATCACCATTTTCAATGGGAAAATCCACTATAAATCACCATTTTCAATAGCTATGTTAGATGAATGCGGATAAGATTCATCCGCAATAGAGTGGTTGGGCCAGCCACTCACATGGAAATGCTTGGGATCATCATCCCATCTTCTACCCTCTGGTAATAACCATTCAAAACATGGTTCAACTTGATTTCAGGTGTATGCATCTTTATATGTGGGTGTGTTCCCAGTCATTGTCGCCGCATTCATATCCTTACCATATCCTCTTTTGCAGGAGCGACATAAATGTTAACCATTCAAAACATGGTTCAACTTGATTTCAGGTCTATGCATCTTTATATGTGGGTGTGTTCCCAGTCATTGTCGTGCAAAATTATGGTATTACGATGTATTACGGTAACTATTACGGTATCCCCTTTTTCTGGGCAAACCCAACTCCTAATCCAGGCACAACAGGGAGATCCCCGCAATTCCCAGTCCCGGATGGTGAGGCGAAAACATGCTTGCTGGGCACCGCCATGCTGGCAACCTTTGCCGTGCTCTCCCGTGAAGACGTGGGTGCTGCGCGCAGGTTGAGTGATGCGCAAACCGCCGCACCCGCACCGGTCCGCGCTGCCGCAAACTTCACTGCTGCGGGCAATTCTCCAGCACCCTTGCGGCTGGGCAACATGGTGGATGGGTGGGTGGTAATGTTGGCTGCCTAATAATAAAATAAAACCAACCCCCTAATTTTTTGTATTTTTTTTTAAAGGCGGGGGGGGGGTCAGCATTCCAATAGTAAATTCCTGGAACCCTATGGCTGGGATACTATACCATGCCCTCTGGATACTATACCATGCCCTCTGCACAAGGTCAGAACATTAGTTTTTTGGCAATAATAGAGTTCAATTAGGCTAATCATCTTTTAGTATTGGAGATAAACCTAGAGTAGGAAAACAGTTTCCACTATTGCCATGTTGGGTCCACTATTGGCCATGCCCTCTGGACAAGGTCAGAACATTAGTTTTTTGGCAATAATGAAATTAAATTAAGCTAATTGACTTTTAGTATTGGAGATAAAACTGGAGTTGGGAAAAAAGGTTTCTATTGCCAAGATATCACTATTGGCTAGACAACATTGCTGTACTTGTTTGTACTACATTGGGATGTATACTGACATACACTGACTAGCAAGTTTTGTTTCAAGGGCCTCGAGGGTTTCTGCAGAGTGTTTATTCTCAAGATAAAGGACCAGTGACGTGGTTGTGATGGTTACCAGACCATGCTGCACTTGGAAGACCTCGTATCGTTTGCCGCGCAAAACAGGTAGCTATATACTACGACGTTCTATTTGCATCAGCTACATTGAGCTACCATGTTCTTCTCAGATCTCACTATTCACCGGACGCACATGTGCCAGAACAGGATGTTATTGCAAGTACCACACACGCTGCCACATCAGGGCATAGGGCATCGTCGGGAACAATAGCACCAGCTTAGGTTTGTTCAAAAATGGTGGAATATTGAATGAATATTGTGCATACTCCATGAACAATGGCCATTTAAGAATAGGGAATGACATGGAATGATATGGGTATGGATCAATACCTATAACATTTTTAGGGGGTTATTCACATCCATTTTATCCCAGCTATTTTGATGTTCACCAGGGGTACCAGGGTTTTGACCCATCCCCATATCCTCTACCAAGAAATCTGTGTGTTTTTCCCATTTTTTCCTATGATTTTCAGAGCCAGGTTGGGTGATGGAACGGCAGTGGACTGGTGGTTTGCCTTCAAACTCACCACCGCGGCCTTCCCTCAATGCAGTGCCAAACCCAGCTGCAGCTCGGCGTCCTGAAATGAAGATGAAGAGCTCGGCCATTTCCCTTACCGAAATGGTCATTTTATATAGGCAAAATCATGGGAAATCATGGAAAATCATGGGAAATATATTAATGTTAGCTGCATAATAGTAAACCCCCCCTAAATAAAATAATTTTGGAGGAAAATCCATGGGGGGGGGTCAGCATTCCAATAGTAAAGTCTTGGAACCTTATGGCTGGGATGGAGGCGAAGGAGGAGGACGAGGAGGACGAGGAGGAGGAGGAGAAGAAGGAGAAGAAGGAGAAGGAGGACAACAAAATTGGAGTTGCGGAAAAAAGTTTCCACTATTGCCATGCCTGGTGCAGGTTTGTTATTGCTATTCTGGGGCTTGCAAAGGCGGTACCCTTTGTGGACCTGTTTTCTTGCTTTTTTAAATAAGGGTTTTATAAGGAAATCAGCTGTTTGGTAATTGGATCAGATTTCTGGAATCTAAGCTTTTGCTAATCAAAAGTGAAGGCTGCTTTGAAAAGGATTTGCCATGTTGGGTCCACTATTGGCCATACCCTCTGGACAAGGTCTGAACATGACAGAGCTAATTGACTTTTAGTATTGGAGAAAAATTGGAGTTGCGGAAACATGTTTCTACTATTGACAAGAGATCATTATTGGGTGGACAACATTAGGGAAAATCATTGAAAATCGCAACATTTATTAGGTGAGTCAACTATACACGGGCCAGTTTCCATAGCTACTCAATAGTTTACCGCTTCGGGTAATCCTTCGGAAGTTTAGTAGATACATATATAGACATGACCAACCTTAGTATGTTTTTCACAAGAAGTTATAAGTTGTTTTGGGCGTGGAAAAAATATATAAGGCCCAGGGGACTGGAAAATATCTCTGTACAGTGCTGAATTGAATACGTCGAAGTTTGCATATTGTGGCTTAGTGATGCTTAGTGGTTGCTTGAGGATCTTAGCAGCAAAACATCAAATTTGCACTTGCTGGAGCAAGGACAAGAATATGACATTTCTTGAGGGAAGGTTTCGTTTTAGAACGCGGGATAATACTCAATTTGAAACGCGACTTTATTACTCATTTTGAAACGCGACACACTCTGTGCCATGGTTTCCATGATATCTGTGTGGTTTCCACGGTTTCCATGGTTTCCATACTTTCTTTGCGGTTTCCATGGTTTTTGTGGTTTCCATGATCTCTTTGCGGTTTCCATGGTTTCCATGATTTCTTTGCGGTTTCCATGGTTTCCATGGTTTCCATGATTTGTCTGCGGTTTCCATGGTTTTCATGATTTCTTCTTGCGGTTTCCATGGTTTCCATGGTTTCCATGGTTTCCATGATGTCTGTGCGGTTTCCATGGTTTCCATGATTTCTTGGCGGTTTCCATGGTTTTCCATGGTTTCCATGATTTGTCTGCGGTTTCCATGGTTTCCATGATCTCTTTGCGGTTTCCATGGTTTCCATGGTTTCCATGGTTTCCATGATTTGTCTGCGGTTTCCATGGTTTCCATGGTTTCCATGATTTGTCTGCGGTTTCCATGGTTTCCATGGTTTCCATGATTTGTCTGCGGTTTCCATGGTTTCCATGGTTTCCATGATTT